CAATGGACGGGTTGGACCAACTGGCCTGTTGGTCCATTGGACCGGTTGGACCAACTGGCCTGTTGGTCCAGTTGACCGGTTGGACCAACTGGCCTGTTGGTTCAGTGGACCGGTTGGGCCAACTGGCCTGTTGGTCCAGTGGACCGGTTGGACCAACTGGCTTGTTGGTCCAGTGGACCGGTTGGACCAACTGGCTTGTTGGTCTAGTGGACCGGTTGGACCAACTGGCCTGTTTGTCCAGTGGACCGGTTGGACCAACTGGCCTATTGGTCTAGTGGACGGGTTGGTTGGACCAACTGGCCTGTTGGTCGAGTGGACCGGTTGGTGTTGGAAACAAGAAGTCGCTAGAGCGCAGCGGAAGCTCTAGGAAGATAACGACGTCCCTACGGCGGGGCAATGGTCACTCAGAGGTAGCTCTCCTAGCTTGTAACTTGGTGCCAGAGCAGCGGCCGAGGGTAGGCCGGACACAAGCTTGGGAATTGTGTAATAATAGCATGGCAATACATTGATTTATATAGGAAACAGATAGGGCAGACAGTTACCGTAGCGCAACTGTATAACAGTTGCGCTGCGTCGCTTCCGTTGCACTGTTACAGTCGAGATGGCGAGACTGTTCAGCTTCGGCAAGGGCGCGGTATTCAGCCGCGCCCTGCAGGACGTTTCACGTACTGTAGATGCTGCCTCCTGCTGTCGATTCGACTCTTGAACTGCCACGCGGGTCGCAACCGCTGTGCTCGGTTGCGCCCCGTTGACTCGCCACCAGGTTCAAATCCCTCGCTATGGCGAGCCCCTGTAAGCACACTTCGAACAGTGCACTTATAATAAAAGCATACAAACATATTCTCAACAGTTGGACCAACTGGCTTGTTGGTCTAGTGGACCGGTTGGACCAACTGGCATGTTGGTCCAGTGAACTTGTAAGACCAATGCGTGTTGGTCCAATGGACCGGTTTGACCAACTGGCCTGTTGGTCCAGTGGACCGGTTAGACCAACTGGCCTGTTGGTCCAGTGGACCGGTTGGACCAACTGGTCTGTTGGTCCAGTGGACCGGTTGGACCAACTGGCCTGTTTCTCCAGTGGACCAATTGGACAAACTGGCCTATTTGTCCAATGGACAGATTGGACCAACTTGGCCTGTTGGACCAATCAGCCTGTTGGTCTAGTGGACCGGTTGGACCAACTGGCCTGTTGGTCCAGTGGATCGGTTGGACCAACTGGCCTGTTGGTCTAGTGGACCGGTTGGACCAACTGGCCTGTTGGTCCAGTGGACTGGTTGGACCAACTGGCCTGTTGGTCGAGTGGACCGGTTGGACCAACTGGCCTGTTGGTCTAGTGGACCGGTTGGACCAACTAGCATGTTGGTCCAGTGTGCGGAGATATGTACTACAACGGGAGCTAGACTACGGGCTAGGCACAGGTGCTCGTGTGATCTCTGCGTTCACTTGTTCCTTAGTCGTTTCCAAGTGCCCGTGTGATCTTAGTCGTTTCTTGCTAGTTCACAGGGAGAATTGGCAAGAGTTTCACTAGGAAAGGTTTACAACAATGGTACAACGAAGTTGGCAAGACTAGACTACATCAGAGCTAGCATGCAAGCAAGTCTACTGCCAGCGCAGCACGGTCGACCGCGCGCCAGCACGACTTGGTCGACCGCGCTCCAGCAGTGCAGAGGCGCGGCTTGCCAGTGCTGCAAGTCGACGGCGTGCCAGCATCGCAGGTTGACGGCGTGCCAACGCTGCTCCCGCAGGACAGCAGCGCACCCGCTTCGCAGGTGCTCGCAGATGATTGGCGTGTAGTGCCTCGTCACCTGCACAGCGCACACACCAAGTCAACTTCGTGCTGACGACTGATTCTGATCAGCCACGTCGACCTCGGGATACCACCACCGAGATCGTCCTCGCCAACATCGCCTGAGCGACCGTCGCGTGCCTTCGCAGAACCTCGTCACCCAGATAACCTGGTCGACCGGGCAACCACGTCGACCAGCTGCTCCTGTATGTGCCGGTCGACCTCCCAAGTCGACGACCACCTCCAGTCGACCTCCCCAGGTCGACCACTATGTTCGGTCGACCAACCACCAAGTCGACCAGAAGGCCTGGTTTACCAACCAAGTCGACCAGAAGGCCTGGTCGACTTACCAGGTCGACCAGAAGGCCTGGTCGACCAACCAGGTCGACCAGAAGGCCTGGTCGACTTACCAGGTCGACCAGAAGGTCTGGTCGACCAACCAGGTCGACCAGAAGGCCTGGTCGACTTACCAGGTCGACCAGAAGGTCTGGTCGACCAACCAGGTCGACCAGAAGGCCTGGTCGACTTACCAGGTCGACCAGAAGGTCTGGTCGACCAACCAGGTCGACCAGAAGGCCTGGTCGACTTACCAGGTCGACCAGAAGGTCTGGTCGACCAACCAGGTCGACCAGAAGGCCTGGTCGACTTACCAGGTCAACCGGAATGTTTGGTCGACCAACCAGGTCGACCAGAAGGCCTGGTCGACTTACCAGGTCGACCAGAAGGTCTGGTCGACCAACCAGGTCGACCAGAAGGCTTGGTCGACTTACCAGGTCGACCAGAAGGTCTGGTCGACCAACCAGGTCGACCAGAAGGCCTGGTCGACTTACCAGGTCGACCAGAAGGTCTGGTCGACCAACCAGGTCGACCAGAAGGCCTGGTCGACTTACCAGGTCGACCAGAAGGTCTGGTCGACCAACCAGGTCGACCAGAAGGCCTGGTCGACTTACCAGGTCGACCAGAAGGTCTGGTCGACCAACCAGGTCGACCAGAAGGCCTGGTCGACTTACCAGGTCGACCAGAAGGTCTGGTCGACCAACCAGGTCGACCAGAAGGCCTGGTCGACTTACCAGGTCGACCAGAAGGTCTGGTCGACCAACCAGGTCGACCAGAAGGCCTGGTCGACTTACCAGGTCGACCAGAAGGTCTGGTCGACCAACCAGGTCGACCAGAAGGCCTGGTCGACTTACCAGGTCGACAAGAATGTTTGGTCGACCAACCAGGTCGACCAGAAGGCCTGGTCGACTTACCTGGTCGATTGGAAGGTCTGGTCAACCAACCAGGTCGACCAGAAGGCTTGGTCGACTTACCAGGTCGACCAGAAGGTCTGGTCGACCAACCAGGTCAACCATAAGGCTTGGTCGACTTACCAGGTCGACCAGAAGGTCTGGTCGACCAACCAGGTCGACCAGAAGGCCTGGTCGACCAACCAGGTCGACCAGAAGTTCTGTCAGCCGACCACCCAAGTCGGCTACCCCAAGTTGGCGTCACCAAGTCGACGCCCTCCGCAGGTCGACTTCCCAGGTCGACCTTCCTGAAGTCGGCGCCCATGCAGTGGCACCCGTGCAGGTCGACTTCCTCGTCGACCAGCTCGCCCACTGCTGCAGGTCGGCTGCACCCCTACACCCAACCACGAAATCGGCTCCGCCCAAGCGAGGACGGGGCCAACACACAACTCCCGTTGACACAGTGGACCGGTTGGACCAACTGGCCAATTGGTCTAGTGGACGGGTTGGACCAACTGGCCTGTTGGTCGAGTGGACCGGTTGGACCAACTGGCCTGTTGGTCTAGTGGACCGGTTGGACCAACTTGCCTGTTGGTCCAGTGAACCGGTAAGACACTGGCCTGTTGGTCCAGTGGACCGGTTGGACAAACTTGCCCAATTTGTCGAATGGACAGATAGGACCAACTTGGCCTGTCGGACCAAGAGGTCTGTTGGCCGAATGGACCGGTTGGACCTATTGGCCTGTTGGTCCTGCGGACAGGTTGGACCAACTGGCCTGTTGGTCTAGTGGACCGGTTGGACCAACTGGCCTGTTGGTCCAGTTGACTGATTGGACCAACTGGCCTGTTGGTCCAGTGGACCGATTGGACCAACTGGCCTTTTGGTCCAATGGACCGGTTGGACCAACTGGCTTGTTGGTCCAAAGGACCGGTTGGACCAACTGGCCTCTTGGTCGAGTCGACGGGTTGGGCCAACTGGCCTGTTGGTCCAGTGGACCAGTTGGACCAACTGGCCTGTATGTCCAGTGCACCGGTTTAACCAACTGGCTTGTTGGTTCAAAGGTCGGGTTGGACCAACTGGCCTCTTGGTCGAGTGGACCGGTTGGGCCAACTGGCCTGTTGGTCCAATGGACGGGTTGGACCAACTGGCCTGTTGTGTTGGTGCAACCCTACGGTTTGCACTCGGCTTGTTGTCCGTGTACGTGTGCATGCATGCGTGTGTCCATGGAGTGATATGAGTGCATGAAATAAATATATATTTCATGCTTATAATGGTGTGTGACTGATGGATCATGATGTCGAGTGTGTGTGTCAAGTCAATAGCGAATTATCGCTAGTCGCGTGTAACGCGGTCATTTTGTGTGTCCCGCGCGGTTTCTATTTTGTCGTGCACGGTTTCTATTTTGTCGTTTGCCGAACGTTCGTCTCGCAGGTGTGTGCAGCAGACCCATCAAGAACTCAAGGATGAGTTTGTGATGAAGAACCCGAGCCTTGGTTGCAAGTTTCAAGTAATTTCGAAGCTCGCCAAAGGGTACACCTCAAGATGTTGAAGATAGTTACATTACAATGTGTAGTGTAACATTTCCATGGGTGTAGGCCCTTGTGAAGGGTAGTTTCGAGACCCTTCTTGGTTGGGGACAGTGTGGCACTGTTCCACATCACTGTACCTCGGCTCTTGGGTTTTGTAGGAGCTATTCGTAATTGTGTCTCCTAAGACTATGTTGCTGCCATAGTGCCGTTCGTTCAAACCGACGCTGTGTCGTCAATTCTTGATGAAATCGTGCGATCTAAATTGCCTATTGTAGGCGACGTTAAGACGCTTCAGATCCAAGTTGAATGAGGTCATTTGAAGCTGTGACCAGATCGCTATGAACGTTTGAAGCTGCTGTGCAGAAATCTGACTGCGCACTCTATCTTTCGTTTTAGGCACATTGAAGCCTACTGTGACTATAACAAGTGGTATCAGAGCGCCTTGGAGCAGCTACGACGATGGCTGGACCTGAAGAGAGGGGTGGCAGAGGTGCTGGAGGCAATGGAGAAGCCCAAGCACAAGGCCAAGCCCGTGATTCAGCCGTGGCGCCCGTGCAACCTACTCTTGGACCTTCTAGGGATGAACCAAGAGTGTTCAAGCTTGACAATTTCAATGGTGACAACTTTGCTGAATGGTCCTTCAGAATGGAGAATGTGTTTGACCACTATGATCTGCTGGAGGTGATGGAAGGAATGGAGAAGCGTCCCGAGAACGACCCGGAGAAGAGCTCGTGGGTGCGGAAGAGCGCACAAGGCTATCTCCTACTTGGGCAAGCGTTGGGGAGCAACCAGATCCGTCACATCAAGCCATTCCAGCGTGAACCAGAGAAGGGACCAAAGGCATGGGCTGCACTCAAGGGTGTATACGCTCCTGCAACAGCGGTGGTAGCTGTGGTGTTGGAACGGCAAATGGCGACGTTATGAATTGAAGAAGATGAACCCGTGGAAGAAGGGGTGCAGAAATTCTTCGACTTGTTGACGCGGCTTGAGGGAGCGGATCTCAACTACAGTGAGCTCCAAAAGAAGACCAAGTTGCTGGCCTTACTCCCAGAGTCGTGGTCCTCGCTCATCATTAACCTCAACCGTGATCTGCCCCGTCTCTCGCTTGAAGACGTGAAGCGCGCGATCCTACAAGAGGACTTCCGCCGCCGTGAGTTGGCGAGTGCGGATGGCGCTGGGGCAGCAAGTGTCGGCCGTGGATATGGCCGAGGAAGAGGCAGAGGACGAGGGGGAGGAAGATTTGGTGGCAGCAACTTCGGCGGAGGCCGCGGAAGTGGCGGATACGGCAGCGACGACAAGAGCTACGGGCGCGGTCGCGGACGATTCGACGGCGAATGTCATTATTGCCACAAGACCGGACACATGTGGCGCGATTGCTACAAGCTCCCTGAAGGATGGACCCCTGCTCAAGGCCAAGAGGGTAGAGGAGCAGGAGGAGGGAGAGGAGGCCGTGGTGGTCGCGGAGGTGGAGCCGCGAACATGAAGAACGAAGATAACGACAAGGACTCGAAGGACGATCGGTACCCGGGTCTATTCTACTTCGTCTCAACGCAAGTACCAGCTGGTCCAGAGAAGGATGAAGACCTTGAGGAGCCAGCAGCTGTGGGGAAGGTGACCCTACACCCCCTGGACTTTTGGGTGATCGATAGTGGCGCTACCTATAGCATGACACCTCGCCCCGACTTGCTCACCGAACTCGAGCCGTCACCGGTGAAGCACGTCACATCGGCTTTGGGGCAGCGAGCGGAGGTGAAAGGCATGGGCAAGGCCATGTTCAAGGGTGCTGATGGAAAGATGGTGGGCCTCAAGAACGTGCTTTGGGTGCCCAGCCTTGCTGCAAACCTGATTTCCGTGCGGCGGTTGGCAAAGGCCGGCATGGACACGAACTCGAAGGGAGCCAAGACCTACACCGCAAGGATTGGCGACCGGATTCTTTGGGACCTTCATGAGGATAGGGACGTCTACAATGAGATGTGGCAGATCCCTGTGGTCCCCATGCCTAAGGAGAGGCAAGTGGCAGCAAGCGTCAGCACCAAGGGTGACGCGGTTGGTAGCGGCGATAGCGCAGACGGTCGCGCTAAGGAGGAGTCCAAGAAGAGCAAACCTGGAGTGACCAGCAAGCTCGGTGACCCTAAGGAGAGTGGTGCAGCAGCCAAGGAGCAGCACAAGGGTGAGGAGAACCCCGAGGCAGCAGCGGAGAAGGACAACGGAGAGAGCATGTGGGGCGCTATTGCGAGTGCGGCATTCTCCAATCCGACTTCGGCTACGAGGGAGTTTGATTGGTTGACATTGCATCGGCGAATGGGGCATGTGGCCCTACCCATCTTGCAGCAGCTAGTGAAGAACCAGATGGTTGCTGGCATACGTGTGAAGGGGGAGCCCGATGAGGTGCTTGGCTGCCCGACGTGCATGGAAGCCAAGTTCAGGCGGCTTCCGTTCTCGAGCTCGGAGACGACGGCTAAGGCACCACTTGACGAGGTGGTGATGGACGTGGTGGGCCCCCTGAAGCTTGGAGCTGCTGGAGCTGAATATTTCCTCACCATAGTGGACGTTTACACCCGCATGACTTGGGTGTACGTGCTGGCCAAGAAGAGCGACGTGGCTGAAACGTTGAAGACGGATTGGTTCCCGATGGTGGAGCGGCCACAAGACCGTCTAGTCAAGTCGATCCGCACCGATCGAGGGGGAGAGTTCCTGAGCAAGGAGTTTGGGTTGTGGCTGAAGAAGAATGGTATTCGGCACTCCCTCACCATGCCATACTCCCCTGCAATGAACGGCATCGCCGAGCGAGCGAACCAGACAATCACGGAGGCGGCACGCGGGTTGCTCATTGAAGTCGGGCTACCCGACTATTTCTGGCCTGATGCGGTGCGGAGTGCGTGTGTGGCCAAGAAGAGACTTTTGACTCATGTGGGAGCAGACAAGTGGGTGCCCTATGTGAAGTGGCTTGGAAGGAAGCCAAAGGTGGATATGCTTCAGGTGTTCGGGTGCATGTGTATGGCACTCGTGCCTAAGCATCTACGGCACAACAAGCTTGGTGCCAAGGCGGTGTGGGCCGTGCACTTGGGCATGGCTCAAAACAGCAAAGGGTGGCTTCTTTGGGACCCATTCACCAAGAAAACCTTGGTGAGCAGGGACTGCAAGTTCATGGAAAACTTCATGTACAAGGATTGGAAGGCGGAGAATGAGGCGAAGATAGGCGTGCGGTTTGGAGAGGTGAAGAGTTCCGGGTTGGAGCACGTGGAGCTGCCTTTGGAGCTGAGCAGCGGCAGCACCACCACAAGGCAATCTTCCCTTGTGAATGGGGGAGAGGAGGCCAAGGATGCAGAGGAAGAAGAGGAGGAGGTGCAGCAAGTGAGCGAGCGTGCACCGACACTTCCTACCCGCACTACGAGTGCTCCACGGAACCAAGCGACACCGCAGCAACGCCAAGGCCTTCAAGTCCCTGCAGCTGAGGAGGAAGGAAGGGTCAAGAGGAAAGTTCAAGCCCCCAATAGGCTGACCTATGATGCGCCGGGGAAGCAGGGCAAGACGGCCCTAGCGGAGCGGCAATGATGGTCGGAGACGACGAGGAGAGTGATTACGATGAATGTGCCTTCGCGTTCTTCTCTCCGGTGGAGATGCCGGGAGAACCAGCAACTCTCAAGGAGGCCTTGGAGAGTGATGATGCTGAGGAGTGGAAGAAGGCAATGGAGAGTGAGCTGAAGAGCATCGAGGAGAACGACACGTTCGAATTGGTGGAGCTACCGGAGGGGCGTACGGCGATAACGTCCAAGTGGCTCTTCAAAATCAAGTCGGATGCCGACGGCAAGATCGAGCGTTACAAGTCTAGGCTGGTGGCCAAGGGGTACCAGCAGAAGGACAAGGTGGACTTCAATGAGCTGTTTGCTCCTGTGGTGAAGCCGACGACGCTGCGAACCCTACTCGCGGGAGCCGCGATCAAAGGTTGGGTGGTGAAGCAGCTAGACATCGTTACGGCGTTCCTCAACGGAATCCTTGTGGAGGAGATTTTCATGGCGCATTCGAAGGGGTTTGATGATGGTAGTGGCAGAGTGTGGAAGCTGAAGAAGGACCTCTATGGGCTGAAGCGGGCCCCTAGGCAATGGTAAATGAAGCTGCGTGAAGTGTTGGAGGAGATCGGCTTCACTCCCTCAACGGCCGATCACTCCTTGTTCATGCTTGGCGAGGGGGAGCAGAGGAGCTTCATGGTGGTGTACGTGGATGACATCCTGATCTTCTCACCCTCCTCTGACCTTGTGAAGGAGGTGATGCTGAAGATTCAAGACAAGTTCAAGTGCGAGTCCCTTGGTGACGTGAATTTCTACCTCGGGCTTCACATCGAGCGCGACGTGGAGAAGCGGTGCATGCGGGTGCACCAACGCAAGTACCTGGAGGCCTTGGCTGCCAAGTTTGGGCAGAATGAAGGCCATGTGGCTACACCCTTTCCCTCTGGGTTCAAGTGTGTGAAGGGACCAGAGGAGGAGAGCGTGGGTGAAGAGGAGAGGCGCCGTTTTCACTCATTGGTGGGCAGCCTCATGTACGCGGCAGTCAACACACGACCGAATGTCACGTTTGCTACCGGGCAGCTGGCAAGGGTTGTGCAATGCCCTAATGAGGAGCAGGTAGCAGCTGGAATGAGGGTGGCCAAGTATCTTGGCCAAACACCGACCGTTGGGCTGCAATACTCGGCGGCGGCACAAAGGCGCCAAAAGGGCGCGGATGGTGTGGAACCCGGGCGTTTGTTCCTCACCGCATTCTCGGATGCCTCCTATGCTTCTGAACCAGAGGACATGACAAGTGTTGGAGGGTTCATTTGCTGTGTTGGTAGAGGTCCAACTTTTTGGGAGAGCAAGAAGCAGGTTGACCAAGCTTTGAGCTCGGTGGAGTCCGAGTACATGGCACTCTTCCGTGCCGTACGGGAGATTGTGTGGCAGCGGCGTTTGTTGGCTGAATTGGGGGAGGAGCAGCAAGGACCTACCCCTCTCTACTGTGACAGCCAGGGAGCCATTGCTCTAGCCAAGAACCCCGTGTTGCATGGCCTGACAAAGCACATGAGGGTGAAATGGCATTGGACGAGGAGCATGGTGGCCGCGGGTGAAGTTGAACTGCGTTATGTGAAGACGACGGGGCAGCCAGCTGACATGATGACCAAGAGGCTGGTGGAGCAGCAGCATTGGAAGTGTTGCAAGCTGGCTGGGATGGCTCTGAACTGAGAGAGCAAGATCCTAAGGCCAACAATCCGAGGGGGAGTTTGTTGGTGCAACCCTACGGTTTGCACTCGGCTTGTTGTCCGTGTGCGTGTGCATGCATGCGTGTGTGCATGGAGTGGTATGAGTGCATGAAATAAATATATATTTCATGCTTATAATGGTGTGTGAATGATGGGTCATGATGTCGAGTGTGTGTGTCAAGTCAATAGCGAATTATCGCTAGTCGCGTGTAACGCGGTCATTTTGTGTGTCCCGCGCGGTTTCTATTTTGTCGTGCACGGTTTCTATTTTGTCGCTTGTCGAACGTTCGGCGTGTCGCAGATGTGTGCAGCAGACCCATCAAGAACTCAAGGATGAGTTTGTGATGAAGAACCCGAGCCTTGGTTGCAAGCTTCAAGTGATTTCGAAGCTCGCCAAAAGGCTACACCTCAAGATGTTGAAGATAGTTACATTACAATGTGTAGTGTAACATTTCCATGGGTGTAGGCCCTTGTGGAGGGTAGTTTCGAGACCCTTCTTGGTTGGGGACAGTGTGGCACTGTTCCACATCACTGTACCTCGGCTCTTGGGGTTTGTAGGAGCTGGGAGTTCTTCCCAACTCGTCACTTTTTTCTAGCTGTTCGTAATTGTGTCTCCTAAGACTATGTTGCTGCCATAGTGCCGTTCGTTCAAACCGACGCTGTGTCATCAATTCTTAATAAAATCGTGCGATCTAAATTGCCTATTGTAGGCGACGTTAATGTTGGTGTAAGGGCCTAATAAACTCAAGCTATTAGGACTTAATCAAACTTAAAACCTCTCCTCGGGGTCACCTCCAAGGGTCCCTGGGTGCCTGGTACAAGACCAGCCCCTATCCTCGGGTCCGAGTTTGTAGAGAGAGGGATCAAGAAGGACTTAGTCAAAACAGCAAGAGTACCTTGAACGTCGCGCAGCGTGCCGTGCAGACCGTTGATCGGATTAAGCTGAGAATTCGCTATATCGAAGCTCGCTCCAAGAGCTTTAAAATGAGCCAAGTTGCCTCGCAAAAAGTTCTGCCATTACGAAGTTATGGCTCAGACGGTGTTTGCCTAGCATTAGAGTGCTAGCGTACTAGCGTTGACTCGGGTAGCATTCCGCCAACGAACCGCGTAGAAACGAAATTCCAGCGAGGAAGGAATTCACATGAATCAATTTGACTATATTCAGGTACAAACAGAGAAGGATTAAATAGTTCTAGCTAGCAAGGACCTTGGGAATCAACCTGGGAACAACCAGGGATGATCCCAAATAATTCCAAGCAACAGAACCAACCAGGCTGGACAAAATAGCAGGTGGTAGGTTGGTAAACAACCTCTGGTTCTGTTTTTCCAACCTGGGAAAACAACAACTAGGTTCAGGTTCTAAAAACAGAACCTGTTTTGTCTTTGCCCAACCAGCCAAATGCTGGTTCCGCTGGTTTCCCCTGGCCTTGTAGCATGCAGATACAGACAAACAACATCCAACCTTCACCTAAATTGTACCCCTATAGTGCCTTCCCTGCTACACTATAGTTAACCAAACAAAACAGTACAATTTCGAGTTGGATAGAACTGAATCTGCGCAATCAACTCAACCGAACTGCAAAGCTTCCATCTTGGGTTCCTTTGCGAGCTCGTCCTTTCTGCTTGCACTGTTCATAGCGCGTACAATGTTGTGCCGAAGCGCACATTGCGCGAGTACCTGCAAATGCATCAAGCGAAAAATGCGAAAGCAAACAAACACACGAACACACCATTCACACGCAAATGCATTCGCACACGCATACTCGTACAAACAGACGGCAGGATGTCGTGCAATGTGCATTTGCACCCAACACACTCCCCCTCAGCCTGCCGGCTGCATCCCCGTCATTCCATGCTAGTTCATGCTCATTCCACTCATGCGCACACAACGCCAATGAGGCTCATCCGCAAGCCTCTTGGTGAGAAAGTCTGCTGGCTGCTGGTGGGTCTTGATGTAGATCGGATGCACCGTCCCCCTCTTCACCTCCTTACGCAGCCAGTGCCACTTGATACGCATGTGCTTGTTCAGCCCATGAAGCACAGCGTTCTTGGCCATCCCAAGAGCCCCCTTGCTATCACAAAACAGCGGCGTAGCAACTTTCTGCTCCTGGCCAATCTCCTCTAACAGCCTCCTCAGCCAAATCACCTCCTTCACCCCATGGAACATCGCCATGTACTCTGATTCTACGGAAGAGAGTGCCGTCTCCGTCTGCTTCTTGGACCTCCAACTAACAGGTCCTCCCCCAACTACGCAGATGTATCCTCCCACAGATGAGGAATCCTCCTTCTCAGAAGCCCATGTAGCATCGGTAAAGCAAGTGAGAAATAGCTTGCCTTCTCCAAGCCTCTCCCCCTTCTCTTTCAGCACCTCCACCCCTTTCTGCTTCACCTGTGCAGATGCGGAGTATTGAACTCCAATGCTTGGGTGAGAGTTCAGGTACTTCACCACACGCTCAGCTGCATCCACCTGCTCCTCTGATGGATTCTGCACCACCCTAGCCAGCTGCCCAACCGAGAAAGAGATGTCGGGCCTCGTGTGAACTGCTGCGTACAAGAGGCTGCCCACCAAGGACTGAAATTGCTGCTGCTCTTCAGCTTCAACCCCTTCATCCTCTGCAGCCTTCACAAGCTTGAATTCTGCTGGCAGGGGAGTTGCAACCTTGCGCTCATTCTCAATCCCATACTTCTCCCCCAGCTCCTTGATGAACTTCTCCTGGTGCAGCTTCAACCACCTGTGATCTGGATCCCTCTCCACGTGCATCCCGAGGTAGTACTTTACCTCCCCAAGGTTCTTGCACTTGAAGTTTTTCATCAGTTGCTGCTGCACTTTCTGGATCTCCTTCATGCTGCTGCTGAAGAGAAGAATGTCGTCCACATAGACCAGAAACAGCACCAGCTTCTCCCCCTCGCCCTTGAGAAAGAGGCTCTCATCACAGCTGCTGGTCCTGAATCCCATCTCCTCTAAAACAGCTGCCAACTTCTGGTACCAGCAGCGTGGCGCCTGCTTCAAGCCGTAGATGGACTTGTTGAGCTTGCACACCCTGCCCGTACCATCCTCATACCCAGGCGGCTGCGTCATGTACACATCCTCCTCTAAAATCCCATTCAGGAATGCCGTTGAAATATCCATCTGAATGATGAATTTCCCACTAACAGCTGCATCTGCCAACAAGACACGGAGGGTAGGGGGTTTGGCAGTGGGAGCAAAGATCTCGTTGAAGTCCTGCTTCTCCTTCTGCATAAACCCCTTCGCCACCAGCCTACTCTTGTAGATGGTGACCTGCCCCTTGTCATCGGTCTTGATCCTCAGCACCCACTTGCATTGTATCGCTTTCTTCCCATCAGGCAGCACCACCAGATCCCATGTCCTATTCTCCAGCAGACTCTGGTACTCAGCATCCCTAGAAGCCAGCCACTTGTCCCTATCTGGTCCAGCTAATGCCTCTTCCATGCTAGCTGGTTCCTCTGGTGCAGGGGCAAGAAAACAGTACGCAGGCTCATCCTCCTCATCCGGGTCATAGCCATGAGGTAGAATCAGCAATGCCTCTTCGGTCCCTAGCTGCTGCTCTGCTGCATCAGTTCCTGCAGTCAGCTTCTTAGTAGCCATACGGGTACGTCCTGGCCTGGAGACGGGTGTCTCCCATCCCTTCATAACGACACCCTTCGGCTTCTTAGTTTTTCCCTGCTGCTTCTCTCCTCCCTCGGGTCCAGCAGCTCCACTAGTGCTGCCGCCAGTTTCCACACCATTTTCTCCACCAGCAGATGCCTCCTGTACCTTCTCTCCATCACCATTTCCAGCAGCTGCCTCCTCTCCCTCCTCCCACACACTAGGAGTCAGGTCCAGCTGCATGGTGATCTGCTCCATCTGCTGGGACACCCTTGCCTCCGGCTGTTTCTCCCAGCTCCCATACATCATGCCCTCAATGAATTTCACATCCCTGCTGTCAAACAACACACCCTTGGATGGTTCCCACAGCAGCCATCCCTTGCTCTCAGCAGCCAGCCCCAAATGCACACACCAGATTGCACTCGCCCCCAACTTACTGCGGTAGGTCTTGGGGACGTGGGCGATTGCCATGCAACCGAACACCCTCAGCATGTCCACCGGCGGCTTCCTCCCAAGCCACCTCTCCAACGGCACCCACGAGTCATCCCCAACCTTGGTGAGCACCCTGTTCCTAGCGACAGTGGCGTGCCGGACAGCATGAGGCCACATAGAATTGCTCAGCCCAGATTCTATGAGCAGCGCCCTAGCTGTCTCCAGAATGGTCCGGTTTGCCCGTTCTGCTACACCATTTGACTGTGGGGTATAAGCCGTGGTCAGCTCTCTCTGGATGCCCTGCTTCTTGAGCCAGGCCGTCATTTCAGCTCCAAGGAACTCACCACCCCGGTCTGTCCTAATCCGCTTCACTACACACTCCGCCTGCTTCTCCACGAATGGCAGCCAATCGTCCCGTATCGTGGAGGCGGCGTGGTCCTTCTGCTTCAGCGGATACGCCCACATCAGCCTGCTCCAGTCATCCACAATTGTAAGAAAATACCGCTCCCCCTTGTGCCCTTGCACTGGCAGCGGCCCCACCAAGTCCATGTGGACCAGCTCCAAAGGCTTCTTGCTCCTGCCAGCCACACTATGGAAAGGGAAACGGGTGAACTTTGAAAGCAAACAGATTTCACAGTTGTCATCGGGTGGCTGTCCGTTCAGCTTCAGACCCTTAACGGCTCCATCCTTCTCCAGCTGCTTCAGCAAAGGCATTGCCACATGCCCTAAGCGCCGGTGTGCCGTTGCCCAATCTGTCTCCCCAGATCTGGCCGACACTTTCACACCAACCCCTCCAACGGCATTGCACTCCCCCTGGGATGCAGACCCCTCTCCAGCCTGCCCCCCACCATGCCACGCCAGGGCCGGCAGCTGCCACATAGATCTGTACACGTCCTTGCTCTCGTGCAGATCCCAAAGCACCCGATTGCCCAGCTTCCCCTTAT